GCGGGAGTTCTTAGAAGGATCTGAGTAGCAATTTTCGTCAAAATGCAGAGGCTACGGCTGCAGGGCTTCGTGAGATGATGAGTGAACATAGGGATGCCATTCCCGGTATCCTGCGTTATCTGCAACAGCAGCGCTGCTTAAGCGTGGCTTTCTCGATTATATGCGGCAGAGGAACATCACTAGTTAGTCACGGATGGCATGGTTGTTCATACAAAAGGCTGTTCTTGATGTAGCATTCGGCGGTTAGTCGTTATTCTAGACGTCTTATTTCATCTGCAGAACTTTCATATTCGATTGTAAAGGGATTCATACTGATACTGATAGAAATATTACGGTGCCTCGGTGACAGCAACGTACCTAATAAAAAGAGGGAGCCGTTTTCTACCCTTTTTTAAAACTTTACCGAACAGACCACGAACATAAGACACACAACAATTGATACTAATAGTAACAAAAGAATTTTGCAGTGAACCAAAAGAACTCACACACATAAGCAAATTAGTACAAGCATAATAAAAAAATTGGGGTACTTTTAAGCTTCACCTTCAAGAGTTAAACGCGATATCGAAATCTGGCCCTTAGTGCACCCTTCAACCGCTAGGTGCATATTTATCATATGTTTTGTTACATATACATGCACACACAAAAACACGCACACAGTAGATTGGACCAGTGCGCGCTATTATCGCCGAATGGGCTCGTTTTTGTCGTAACACCTGTCGAACTAAATGCGTTAAAGGGGCCCTGAAACACTTTTTCAAGTAACCATGAATGGACTCACTAGAGCTTATTGCCTCACGAATTTAACGCCGCAAAAATTTCCAGAATCCATCCAGTGCGAGTGGAGTTACAAAGGTTTGTCGCATGCTGCAATTGCATTCTCTCTTCTCTCGTACCGACGAAAGCACTGGAAGCTAGGCAGGGACGGGTGGCAGGGCAAAGACACTACCGCGCCTTGTGACCTTGAGCACTTTTTTTCTTCGAATGCGCGGCCTTCTCAGTGTGATCGCGCGCGCACGCGTGGAGAAGTAGTGGCCTCACGCGGCTATTTCGGTAACTTGATTTTTTGGTCACAGACACACAGACTATTTTTCGCTCACAACCAGCAGGGCCGACGCCGGCGGCCGGTTTTCCGGGACACAACCTCTTTAACGCTATCGTGTTAAAACAGTCTCACAGGTGTGCGCAGCTACTGCCGCGAGAAACGTCTAGGCAAAAGATGCGAGCACGGTGATGCTGTCGTCGGATGAATTTGGCGAAGAGAAGGGTGACGCTCAAGTGTATGCACCGACGAAGCAGGTAGGTGCTGAAGTCAAGGCAGGCAGTCTTCTCGGACGCGCGGACCAGAGACCACAACCAAGCACTCTGGCCTACGTCCGACATTTGACCTGGGGGCTGCGGTAGCTTTCCGCTGATTCCGTGGACGTCAAAGCTTGAGATCGAGTGAATCAGGCTGCTCCGACTCTTGGCTTCCGCCAGGCACTCGGGACAAACTCCGACCATGATGCTGGCGCACCGCCTCCCCCCTGCTTTCGCCCGAACACCTTGGCAACCACGTGACACTGCATTCCATGCGCCCTGTTCCCTCCCTTGTGGACTCCTGTCCGCACGTGGGTCTTCTTTTCCTCCCTTTCCGCCACTCGCCACGTTGCCACCATTTCACACCAGCACAACCGACATCGTCGTCTCCTATTCCACATCACGCCGGAGCACTGCAGATCTTTCGTGCGCACACCACATCACACTGATACACTTGCTCGCGCTTTAGTCATATGAACAGTTTTCTCTCTTTTCGGATCGGTGAGACGCGGGAACCTACCACCGGCGTGCAGCACGGCTCCGCCAAATGAACCGAAGATGACCAAGGTTTCCACGCGTACACTTGCGACTCGCTTGTGTGGGCGAAGCAAGACGAACTTTTATTTCACGTATTCCATAGCTACTGCTGCAACAACCACCGAAAAGGTTACGTTATGATCGACAATAATGTCGGTTGCTGACCACGAAGTCTTTCCGCATTCTAAATATTTTCAACTTCCCTTTAAGTACTTTAGAAAAACTTGACAATGGGCTAGTTTGTTAAAATTTATCAACGTTTTTTGCACAAACTTTACAAAAAGAACTGAAGACCATGACGAAACACGAAAGTATCCCAATGCGCTGCTTCTTAGCAAAACACAGCAGGTGAATGAGGTAACACATAACCCACATGACCTACGTCACTATGTTATACCGTGACGTCACCACTTGCGTTCATAATAGTGTCATGCTGTTATGTCATCGCATGATGACATACAACATTTCGGAACGTCATTAGATGATATCATCGTTTAGTAAAAGGGGAGTCGACCCCGGAGCAGAAAGCCTGAAGGTGCGAGGAGGGGAGGAACAGTGCAGTTACCTGAGAACTTCGATGCATTTCAATGCATGTATGTCATTTAATGCATGTTCAGATGGAGTAACACGTCGTAGAATTTCCTTTCTTTTTACGCCCGCAGTGCCTTGTCCAAACAGCCGGGCATCGTGTTCAAGGTGGCAGTCGAAGGCAGAGCGGTCTGCGGCCTGGGCACCATCGAGCGCGACGTGGGCGGCTGTGCCATCGTCCGCCACCTAACGGCCAACAGCTTGCGTGTGGCTCAGCTTCTGGTGCGAACACTGATCGTCGAATTCCCACCGGCAACCTCGGCGGGTGTATGCATGGTGGCCAGCGGCAAGCGCTTCTCCAACGAAGCCGGTCCTTCCGGAGGAAGCAAGCCAGCCTTCTTCTACGAGCCGTTGGGACTGCAATACGTCTCCACCATGCTCATGGCGTTTACGCAGCGGGAGCCCCATATCGATTACAAACGCGTCTTTGCACTGTATGCAGTATGCTCTCTATTGGTGGTTGTCACAACTATCTCTGGGGCTATCATTCGGCGGTTAAATGTATGTTCGTTAGATATATTAGAGAGTATTAGTACTGCGTACCGGGCGGGCTTGCGCCCCGTTTCGTGTAGTGCACATGCGCACACCGTGATCGTTTCGTGTAGTGCACTTGCGCATACCGTGATAATACCGCGACGAGCACGTGTCATGATATGTACGCCGCTGCGCTGTACGCGCGCGTGCGTAGGTATCAAGTGGCCGTGCTGCCCGTAGCTCTCGTTTGTTTGGGACAGCGCGAAAAAGTTTCGCAAAAGGGTGACGTCGAACATAGAGTTTCCTAAAACTAACTAGAGGGGACACTAGCTGATGAGGATAGGGGGAGGGGGGGGGTTTAACGTCCGAAAACCACCATGGGATTATGAGAGATGCCGTAGTGGAGGGCTCCGAAAATTTTGACCACCAGGGGTTCTTGAGCGTGCACCCAAATCTGAGCACACGGGCCTACAGCATTTTCGACTCCACCGAAAATGCAGCCGCCGCAGCCGGAATTCGATCCCGCGACCAGCGGGTCAGCAGCCGAGGGGACACTGGCGCTGCGATCGTTCAGGGACCATGGGAATTATGGGTATGACATGGTTTTGCCTAGTCTTGATGCTTGCGAGTGGCGAACGCACTTGCGGCTTCATTTATTGCGGTGTTTTGGTTTTGTTTTGAACAAAAAAAAAAGAGCAAGCTGTTTTTCACTTTGTGAACCGATTTGGAGTGGTAAGTCCAATAAAATATTAAGGTGTTGAAGCGTAACTGCCGAACATTTGCCGATCGCTGTTTCGTGGCAAAGCAGCTTCAAGCCACGCGAAGCCAGAACGAACGTAAAGTATGATGAATGGACAAATCCGTGTCATACCGATAATTGCCATGCTCGCTGAAGCGCTATGCATTGTAGCTTCCATAGACACTACTACTGCTACTCCTCCTCCTACTGCTACTATCCTCTTCCTCCTCCTCCTCCTCCTCCTACTGCTACTACTACTACTATTACTTGTACAACTAAACTACTACTGCTACCACTAATACTGCTACAACTACTGCTACTACAACTGCTACTAGTACTACTGCTACTACTACGACTACTACTACTACATCTACTATTACTACTACTTACGATGACGACCCTGGGTAAACCAAGACACTTTGTGTCTAGATCTGGCCTGGTGCCATCTACTCTATGCTGGTAGTGTGCTAAGAGCAGTAAAATATTGTTTTATTTATTTATTTGGCGTATTTCGCTAGCTACAAGGCAAAAACGTTTCAAAATTTCATGCAAAAACCTAAATATAATATTTGGAATTCTCAACCTATTCATTCCCTTGAAGCGCTTTTTCTGGGTACAGCAACAGTAACGTCTGCTTAGTAATACATGAATTTCTATGGCACAAGAAAAAAAAGTCTTTAATTTATTCCCAATCAAAATTTTTGTACTTCATTACCCCTCTCGCTATAGTTGCTTGTTTCACATATCATTCCGATATCTATAGCTATATAAAGTAAACGTTTTTCAATTTTCGGTAGTACACTAAGCGACTGATTTTTCCTCATCATTCGTTTTTATTCAAAATTTTCCCCCGTCGTTTCATGGCCGATCCCCCCTAGTGAGTATCGGGGATAAAGCAAGCAACTAGGTGCCCAAAATTGGGCACCTGGCTTAGGGTAAGCTAAGTACCCAAGTCAAACAGCAGAGAAAGTAAGGCTGCCAGAAAGAATATTTTAAAAAAGGAAGCTTTGTTCAATGTACACTGCAATCTTCCTAAACGTAGGTCCTAAGCAAAACATGGTACAGCTGCAAAAATTGAAGCGAAAGAGGCGTCACGCCGAGCGAGAACGACACTGACATTCTTCAACGCTGCGCTTCGGTGGATGTTTTTCGATTCACCGAGAGCACAATATAGTTTCTTCAAGATTTCTTGTTACTTAATTATTTCATTCTTTTTTTGATGAAATGTTCCTTGATATTAGTAATTCGAATTTAAATATTTCACGTACTTCTTAAATAGCAAACTACAGTGGGAACGCGCCTAGTGAAAGAAAACGAAACGAGGCGCCACGTGAGAGATCACGTGCACGAGGGCTCGGCTGCAGACGCCGAACTCGGCGTTTACGTCGGGACCACCGTGTTTTTCTAAATCCACGAACGGGGCAGGTTCGTTTAACCAGCCCACACCTTGACGAAGTTGGCCCACAACGCTCCATATTAGCGTCCCACCAGGGACAAGATCTGCGCGAGGTGACTCGGCGAGATTCCTCGCGTCCACGACACCGGACGGCTTCAGTGACGTGGACTGCATACTTCGCCGGGTCCGTGCCGCCTGAGGAGACGAGAACCTCACGCCAGGGCTCGCCTGTTCTCCCTTCGGGTCTCTTCGAATGAATCGTGTAGAACGAATCGCGGACATGTTCGATTGCTGCTACCGTGGCCTGAAGGCGAAAGAGTCATCGGACAATGTGGTCTCGAAGCGGACCTTCCTAATGAGAGGCACGGGCTCGAAGCCGTCCATCGGTCAGCTCTCTGCCGCCACGGTCGAGCACCCAACAACAGAGGAGTCCGAGGAAAAGTGAGTGCCGAGGAGCGTGGTTCGATTGGCTTTGTTATGATTCGAGTAATAGTGCGGGCTGAGGCAATAGTGATCTTACGTATACCCTATATTGAAGGCAAACATCATATACAGTAGTTCCGATCGCATAGGATAGGGTCTCAGCCTAAATGAAAGTTAGTAGTCTGCACTGTAGTTCAATTGGCTTCGTTATGATTCGATCAATCGGACTGCAGCGCTTGTAATTGTATTCCACGTGCTAGAATTCTTTGTATTAAAAAATCGGCGTAATATGCATTACTTTAAACGGCACAAATACGGATGTGATAGCGTTTGTACTTAATAGCAGTTAGCTTTACGGAGGGTAGAGGGTTGATGACGGAATGCAACCTTATCCAGAATACTTCGTTCTTGCGACTTTTGCTTCTCCACTGTAGTCTCTGTGTCAAACACCAATGAAGGTTTCCCCGAAATTACTTGAAGCAATCATTCGCTTAAATGTTACGCTCTAACATCTGCATGCCATCCGTGTTAGACCACCAATATTTTAAATAAAGTACCTCGTTAATTATAGTAGATGAGCGCAGAACACCCACTACAAAACATTTGCTTCAAACGTAAACCTATTGGACGTGTATATTTAAGCGTATATCGCAACCCCTTTTGTAAAGTAAAGAATATTTAGAGGACTTATTAATCATATGAAGCCAATTCAACAAATTGGCCAGGTTACCTTTATTATGGACATCATGTTAACAATTTTTTTCTTAAAGCTATGAGACGTAAGGATGGGAAATATTGTAGCGGTGTAGTGTGCGCTATTGAGGAACGAATAAATGGGCAAATATTTATATTTTGCAATGTACAGATGGCTCTTTGAAGCAATAGTCTCTGTTTAATTATTGTTTCGAAGAAAGTTGTTATAGTAAGTTCATGTCGGCAGTTTCGCAAAATTGGATAATGGATGGCAAAACACTTAATCCACTGTGTTACGGCACAATTAGCTGGGTAATAGTGACCTATTGTATTCAAAAAGTAGCGAAATGGCACTAAAAGTAGCAACGTTTCCAAAAGTACTGCATGCAAAAGACGTCGATATGCAAGCTACCATGGTTGCGTGCGTGCATGTGTGTGCAAGTGTGTCAAATATTGCTTCGGGTTGCCCGAGATAAACTCGGTAGCGAAGACGACGACGTTTGACCACTCGTGCAAACTGGGCTCCATCTTGAATGCCTGCTCTTAAACCCGCTGCAAATATATTCTCAGACGCCTTTCTCCACGTAACAATATGTACGAGCACTTGGGGTTGCTAACTCTGAAAAGCGAAAATAACCCTCCTCTTGTGATGCCTTTACCAGGGCCTTTACATTGACGAAGCAACAGCCCATGAATTAGTTTACGTAAAACACGCGCACGCGATATGAATGCCAGTGTTTCAGCTCGTAGCTCAGCGGTGCACCATCGTAGCTCTGCCGTCGCTTTCCGAAAAGCTACGGGAAATCAACAAGAAAGGTGGCGCAAATGTTCTTCTCGTTCTTTGAAGTTCGCGGCTGTATGCTAGAAAGGCAGCTCGGACGTCAGCATGACGTAACGTGACAGGAAAATTGATTTTAGCACCAATCCAATAATCTTGGAAGAAATATTACCTGAAAATTTGTAGGCTATACAGTCACCCACGTTCTTTTCTCCTTCCATTTGCGTGACTTTAAATATGCGTGCATCGCTCCAGCAAGAATATTTCTAAGTCAGTTGCATGCTCGTTACCTTTCTGTCGAGGCTACGCAACGCTAATGCTGGCTTATTCATACAATAGACACTATCTAGCCCAGTAAAGCAAAATCTCAATCTAGCTGCCCTGCATCAAATGGACAGTTTGCGATAATGTGCAAGTCGGCTTTCCTGTAAGGCTTGTTTTCCAACCAAAAACTCTCGTTAACAGGCTGCTTTTTTCGCTCATTGTGTAGCGATGGCACGCGAGCACACGTGTACAACACAATGAGCGAGAAAAGCAGTCTGTGAACGAGAGTTTTTGGTTAGAAAACAAACCTTAATGAAAAGCCACCTTGCAGATTATTGCAAATGATATGTGGGGTTTAACGTCCCAAAACCACCATATGATTATGAGACACGCCGTAGTGGAGGGCTCCGGAAATTTACACCATCTGGGGTTCTTTAACGTGCAGCCAAATCTGAGCACACGGGCCTACAACACTTCCGCCTCCATTAGAATGCAGAATATTGCAAACTGTTCATTCAGCAGCATCTGTAAAGGGGCTCGTAACTATTCCGCGGCGCTTTTTCTTTTCATTTTGGACAACGGCGCTCAGACTTCAACGGAACTTCGTCATTCGGGCAATGCGACCTGAAGAGCTGGAGGCGGCCTACAAAATTCGACTCCAAACCAATTACCTCTTCTCCAAGAACACTCTCGAGACGTCGTGGAAGATGCAGCCCGACAGCTTCCTGGTGGCCGTCAGCGATGACGGTAAGCATCTGCACGCAGCCATGCGTCTGTAAAACCTCTGCATCTCGGACGGGCTTTGAGATCGAGTCAACACCGTTTCTCACTGTTTCATCTAAAACGCAGACACAAACACATGTCATATTAAAAAAAAGAGAGAAGTACAAAAAGCTAGTGAATTGTGCGCATTCTTTTTTTTATGTGCCGTCTCTCTGCTGTTGCCTCGTACTTCAACGGGGGAAGCAAGACATATATCGCGAATATGACTGAACTGTCCTACATGGCCAGAACCACAAAGAGTTTCATAGTAGTACACGAAATGGAAATGTAGTGCTAGTGTCTATGAGAACGCTAAGTCATTTCAAACCAGCATGGGAATGATCAAGCAAAAAGTTGGTCGTCTTCATGTAGTATGCAGACACTTTGTCGCAAGTTGAACTTCACGCAGCTCAGCAAAAGTTGCTCCAGTCTAACTTCGCCACCTTGACTCTTGAGGCTGGCATCAGTTGAAAGCCAGCTCGTGAAGTTCACAGCAAACCATTATTTTATCCGCAACGAAAGCCAAAATGCATTACTAGTAGTTACTAGTAGGTGGCAGCACCATGTCGTTATAACGAAGCGTAGCAAACACCCACTTTTTTGTCGTTCATAGCGTCGCATTGTCAGCGCAGAGTAATAAGCAGTGCTGTCTTTAGAATTACGTATCAATACATTTTAGAAATAAAGAAACACACTACATGATACGTGCGTATTGATGTTTACCTCAAGTATGCATAATACTTGCTTTTTGAGTGAGAATGTTCACTAGTATGAACGTATACCCCACAGATCGAGATAGCTGGACGCTGAGGAAGTGCTGAAGCTTTCATCGAGTGGCTGAATTGTGCGAAAGACAGACAGATAGACAGAATTACTGCGTCGATGCATCCCACGCAGATTATCGTCCTTGAAGCTTGTACCGCTCATAATTCCCGGGGTGGCTGAATGATGGCAGGCCCACGGTTTTCTCTATGGTATCCACGGGGATACTATAGAAACTCTGTGACCAGGACAACACGCTGACGTGGTTGCTGGAAATTATACAAGCTATAGGTGCCAGTTGAAAATATTTTTCTCGTTTTGCGCTGTCCACACTAGGGTTCTCAAACACGCGGGCCACGTTTAGGCTCACATGACTCTCCCATACTTTTAAAAATGTTCCTAATCACTATGTGCATCAGAATTGAATTTTTTTCAAGTGCCTCCGTGTAAAGAAACGTTCTTTGAGACTTGAACTCACCTTGCCACCACCTTCGATGCAGCACAAACGCGTTTGAAACGCGCTGCATTGAAGGCAGGGGCGAGCCAAGCTTAAGTCAAGTACTGTGTTCCTAAATGCGGTGTTAAACTTCGTCACTGCGGCTGACGTGATTTTGAGAGCCTTGGTCCACAGGATTCGTCCCCCATTCCCACTTTCAGTGGTACTGCATGTGTATGCCTTTCATTCCTACAATGAGAGCAAATGGGTAATCCTGATGAAAGCAATGTAGGCACATGTACTCGAAGCAGCTGCATGTCACGGGGTGCCAAAGGTGATGCCACAATATGTTACCTTAAACGCAAAACCGCATCACGTTCATCGTGGATCGAACTGAAGTGACGAGCTGAAGTACCGCCCGTGCGTTTTGCCAGTTCGACCGTGGTCTAAGAAAACCGAAAAGAGTGCAGTGATCGACTATACTCGTGTACTACTTTTTTTTGGCAATGAAGGAACCCTATACGGAGCCAAACTAGGCATATACCACCGCTGAAGAATATTGAGTCTCACTATCGCGTCCGTATTTTCTGCGTAAAATTATCAAAAACAACATTACCTTCTTTTATAAGGATGTTGCTTATAAGGCAACGCCACACACAGCAATGACACATCCATAATACATTTATTTCATGCAGTGTCACTTCGATTTTTTGCACGTGTAAGAACAACGCACGCGTTACGTACACCTCACAGTAAAAATGGCGTCTTCGTCTTCGGGAAAGCACTTGTCGCCATCTACCTATGTTGACGACTCGCTGAAGGAGCTTGTGACACATTCCACTCGCAAATGGCTGTCTAAGCAGACGTAGCTAATGCCATGCAGTGTTCATTATTCGAACACGGCCGCCATTCGAAGCGCGAGCCGAACCACACTGCTTCATACCCGAACATGTGCAGCAGCTCTTCCCCCGTAACTTTCCCTTCGTTGCCAAGGAATGTTCGCGAGTATAGTGATCCTGCGGAGGGTGCATGGATTCGCTTAAACCTTAAAACCCACAGCAATGTTCAATGTTCAGAGCTGTACTCGAGAATTCCAGGGTTAAGTTAGGTATAGTAGTTTGCGTTTCCGAGGCAATCACACGCATGAACTTCGCGTTTCGGGGGTCACCAGCGGCCACATTTTAAGACACGACGTCAAAACTCAAGCATCGGGGAACCTATCCCAGGTGAAGTGTTCGGCACCATATCGATGGTGAGGTACAGCGAAGACGTGGTGTTCCTGGGCCTGCTGGATGTGAGGGAGGATATGCGCCACAGGCGCATCGGCACCGAGCTTCTCAAGGCGGGCCTCGACAAGGCAGGCAGCAAGAACAAGTTCATGCGCTGCATCCTGCCACTGGAGCCCCTGTTCAACCGCATGAACTTGTTCATGGTGCGCTCTACCGTGCTGCTCGGACGCAACGAGCCCGTCAAGGTGGACGCGTCCAAGATGACGGTGATGGACACGCGTGGAGTGAGCGTCAAGCCCTTTGAGAAGGCCTTTTGGGACAGACTGCGAAAGTGAGTAAAAAAAATTTAAATCGGGAGTGGTTCTCTGTAAGACTTATGGCCGGATACAACTTTATAAGTCCGTGGCCCCTCTTCAAAAGCGGCCGCACACAAGCCATCATCAATGGGCATACACTGAACAATGACGTCATAAGCCAGATGACCGGTGTACCCCACCTTCGGTGTATACATTGCCATGTGCATGAACAAGGCTATTTGATGCGAATCAGCTCTTTGCCTCACGGCTGTGTCGCCATACGTACGCGCGTTCGTATGAATGCGCCGCAACGCGTTCTCCTCGCTGCAGGTGTTAGAGCGGTGCCAAGTAGGTCATGCCGCAGCTGTGCGTTGACGTCACACTCCCCTCGCACGTCGCACGTTTCCTTTGCAGGTAAGCGCTGACGTCACTCTCCCTCTCACCCGCAGCACGCTCGCCGCAGCACCCCACCCGCAGCTGCTGATTGCTGCCCCCGCTCGCAGAACACCTTCATCTTGCTTCACCCTCTCCACCGCCTTTAACGCTCAACCGCACGTCGACTGGAAACACTCTTTCGGCTCGTTGATCTCCAATGAAACTTACACGAAACCCAACCCGCCTCTCGTGTCTCTGCGTTTCAAACGAACATTTACTCAACTAAGCGCTACACCGAGTTTCCCTTCAAACCGTTTGTCCAGCACACGCGTACACGCCTGTTTCAACCGGGTCAACGCCTTGAGCACAGCTGCTGCTTCGCAGCCCAGCAGGGTTTCCTTCTGGGAGATGGTCCATAACGTTTTTTTCATTAGAGGTGCGAGTTGGGCTCTTGGTTAGAACCATTTTCAGACATGACAAATTTGCACAAAAAATACAATCAACAAAATAAAAAAACATGTCCTGTCTGTTTTTTTTTGTTCTTCCTTTCCGTTATTTTCTTCTCCTTGTCCGTTCTCAATTTTTTCTAATTTGTTACTTTAGAAGTGTACTCCTTTCATCATTTCTCATTTCTTACTTCAGAAGTCTACTTCTTTATTCACGGATGTCTCGCTGGGGTCGCTTAGGTCCAGCACGAGAGATTTTTTGACACGGAGGAAATAGTTATATACAGAGACATTTTAAACTACTTAATCTTCACTATCGGTGTTCAACTAGAAAATCACTTCGTTGGAATTGCGAATAGAAGTAGTGTAGTGAGAAAATGTCAGTAGGGATGCCGAGGTGTATGAATAAACAGCAACTGTTGAAAGTAATTGACGAGAAACGAAAATCCCCCCCCCCCCCCTCAAAAACGAAAACTTGTCTCCAGATGAATTATTCTCTAATCGCGCCAAGAAAGAAGCCTGAAAGCGAAGGGTAATGAAGCATGATTGTAGCACAATATCTTGACCCAGGACTGATGCACCCGGACCACCACATGCCGCGAATGTGGTGGTTCACGAGATAACGGACAAATTTAGTTGACAGTCTGCAACAGCTTTGCGCACGCAGCCTGCCGCAGGCTGCATTCGCACAGCTGCTACGGACTGTCAACTGAATCTGTGCAATGATGCGGAGGTATAGGAGCAACACATACGCGTACGCGCACATTTCATGGCAAGCTGAACGCCTTCACAGCATTTGAGCTCCAGTACCCCATACACAGCTGTGACCACTCACCCACAAATACATGTGCGCACTGTCCAAAGGCTTTCTCTTATTCCTTTTACTCTCTTTTCTTAATATGCGATGTTCTTATTCTAATATACTTTGAGCAATCTTCCTTTTAACACCTTTACTGTATGCAACAGACAGTGAATATAATGCAAGAGATATTTGTATTGCACGACTGAAAGCATCATGGCTCGTTGCACGGGCGATGCATAAGTTAAACAGCTATCACTGAATTCAACGATGCAATCTGGAGACAAGCAATCCACTCAAACGTAACTTGCTTGACTGATGGCGCAGGTACGACGACGTCCTGACGACCGTGGACAGGTCGGAGCTGCTCCAGGCCTTCATGGAGGAGGAAGGCGCCATCAGCGACGTGGCGCTGAGAGAAGACGGCTCCGTGGCTGGCTACAGCATCGTGCAGCTGATGTCAGACGGCTCGTGGTGCTTTTACATGCTAGCCGCGGACACTCAGGACTTGGCGCGCATGCTCATAGGCAACTTCCTGCACCGCTGCCCGACGGCCAATGACAAGGGCGTGGTGCTCGTGAGCCCGCTCTGGCCCACCGAGGAAGAGTCTTTCCTCGTGCGAACCCTTGGCTGGAGCGTCTCCAAACACTCAGTCTGCCGCTTCAGCGACAACGAACTCAAGTTCGACTATAGTAGAATATTTTCTATGTAGACGTGCGTGATGCGGCGCCTACGTCGCCTCGGTTCAAGCTGACGCGCCCATCACGCTCGAGACGAAAACAATTTTCGAAACAATCCCCCAAAGTTGCATACGTGACGCACACCCGATGGATTAGTAGACGTATGGAGTGTTGTCTCAAACACAACCGAAAGAGCGATCTTTACATTGCAAATACTCTTAGCGGCTATCATTGATTGGACGTGAGAGCACTATCTTAAAATTTGAACTTGTGTGATTTGCACCGTGTAATCTTATTCACCCGATACCAGAATTCTTCTTCCATGCCGGATAATTTGAAATAAAGGAAACTTTTCGGAAAGCATTCAGTCTTCGTTGTCTTGCGTTTGCTTGGAAATAGGCGCCTACACGTAGCATGCAGCTGCTTCGAGCATAAAAGTAACGTTGTACCTCAGTAAGTAGAAACACTCCAAGTGAGCGGGATATTCAAGTCGTGCAGTCGGAGTCTTGTTCTTTTTTCTCTCTCTCGGCAAGGCATTGCAGCCAATGCGATCGGACGCTCAACCCCGCGCTTTACAGCAGAACATTGTAATCAGTGCTGTCGCCTTGACAGACCCCCGAATGACACACATGTCGCCTCGCGCACGCTGTTTTCTGTAGACGAGGTGTTGGGCAGTCTGTCCTGGCGCCAGTTCGCTGATGACCTGATTATACTGGATCAGCTGACCGTAGACCGCGGCCACCATGGCGAAGGTGTTGGTCCCGAGCTAACAGCCGCTTTCGTCGACTTGCTCTCCTCACAAAACATCATGGTGCGCCTACCGGAGCACATCGAGCAGCAGTTCGTGCTAGAGATGCCCCCTTTTCCCTACAGGCGAGTGGAACTGGCAGTGATGTCCTGTAGTCGCACGTGATTATTACGAACGTAGAATAAGGATAAAACTCTTAATTTAGACTACGACTTCCTGCAAAGACGCCAACAACACAGTGGGGAAGAGTATCAAGCAATCTGTACGCTATAATTGACACTGTGAGAGTTATTGCTTCTAGAAAGTCCTGCAGTATTCGTAGGATGACCGCCACTCCAGATAATCTCTAATGAAGAAAGCTTGCCAGTGGTAGTTATACGTTAACACGCATACCATGGTTGATCTGTTTTTGCTGCTCACGCCTGCTAATCCGCAATTCTCGGCTGAGAGTTATACCGAAATTGTAACTGCAAATGCGCACTACTCCAGCTAGTGTCACTAACTTGCCAATACTGAAAAGTAATGGAAAAAAAATTGAGCACAATTTTTATATTTAGGAACAATGTATTCCTTATGAATCGGGACGTAACATAACGTAAAGATTTCGGAAAGGACATATGGACTTTAGTGTACGTACAAGCACATCCTCTGAAATGAATGAAAACTAAAAACTTCAACTGCCTATTCAACCTGCATGTTCAAATTTGAACATAACGCTGAAGGATGCTTCTTATGTATAGTGACGCGAGATGGTGGAAATTCTACATCTACCGTAATTGTTCTATTTCAGAATATGGAGTACACGTTCATCCCGTAGAGTAACGGGATGAACGAGTCTGATAAGTAACGTCCACATCGAATCTTAAAATGTGCAGCATTCGCTTCTTGCCGTCCTTGTTTAGTCACCCTGTTTCAACACAAGTTCAGAATGACGGCAAGCAGAATTGCTTTTGTCTTGGACTTAACAGTTTTAAGGCAGAACATTGCCGACAATTTTTTCGTGCTCGCTGGAGGTTACGGAAGGACAGAAAGTGCGAATCGGCTACAAACCTTGTGCGAGTGAAAGGCCTAGCTCTGACAGCATTAACACAATAGCTTCTTGCGTTTCGGAGCTTTTTTGCAATGCCTTTTCACAAACATGGTAAGTTGCCGTGCCATAGTCAGAGCCTCACGTAGGGTTCTCTATTAGCAGGCCGAGTTTCAACTTGGTGCTCTTCCCCCCTCCCCCCTCATCATTATCACCATTAGCCCGACTACACCCACTGCAGGGAAGATACCTCTCACATGTTCCGCATTAACCCGGTTTAGTGCTTTCTTCTGCCACGTTATGCCTGTGAACTTTTTAATCTCATCTGCCCACATAGCATTCTGTCTCCCGTTCGTGCGTTTGCCTTCTCTTGGAGTACATGCAGTTACCCTTAATGACCAGCGGTTATCCTGCCGATGCGGTTCGTGCTCGACCCATGTCCATTTCTTCTTGATTTTAACTATTATATCCTTGAACCCCGTTTGTTCCCTGATCCAGTCTGCTCTCGTCTCGTCTCCTAAGGTTACACCTATCATTTTTCTTTCCGTTGCTAGCTGCGGCATCCTCAATTTGAGCTGAACTCCCTTTGTCAGCCTCCACATTTCTGCTTCCTGCAGGCAAGTACTGGTAAGACATAGTTGTTATACACCTTCGTTTTGAAAAAAAAGAAGACAGTGGTAGACTATGGTTGTGTCGGGGTCGCAGTGTCTGCGACACCAACGAACAAGAAGCCGCCGCGCGCCGACGCTGTCATGATTTACGATAGTAGTAAAATCCCACCCTCACCCTCCCTTCTCATTTATTGGTCAATTCCAACCGGAAACAAGCTTGTTATTGGATGAAAGACTAAAAATCAGCCATGACATGCTTTTCGCAATGACCTGCTTTTTGTCCCTGCTTCAGCTGGCTAAAAGAACGTAAGGGTCCCCAGCGGCCATATTAACGTGGTAGCGCTGAAGAGCTCGTTACGTGGAAATTGCGGTGTCGGTGGTGGCGTCAGTGGTGTTGAGAGAAAAATAGGTGCTATCCATGAGCCGGATATATATAAAAAAAGGTAGCTTTACACTGTGGGTGGCCAGCATGAAGAAAGTGTTTTATCTCTGTTTTTCAGTTTTTGTCCTTCTTTTATTCTTACTGCTTTCTTTTCATTGCTTTTTTACATTTTTTGCCTCTTATAGCTTTGATCCTCTCTCTATCAAACTTGCTTTTAATTTCACAGCGAAAGCTGTAATCAGATCACAACAAGTGTAGCATGCACCGTAGTTGGCCACTGCCGATGTCCGTAACCCCTATCGCACCAAATGAAAAGTAACAGCAACGACACAATGAGATTCGAACCAAGGTCCCGTTCATGCCAACCCAGTATTCTACCACTGAGACATGCCACTGTCTGAAACGTTGTCACAAACTGACCCTAGGCAGGCTTCTTGTCAGGAAAGGAATCTAGTTAGTATGAATAACAAACCGTTTTAGAACAGCAAAGAAACAACGAGGCGCCGTACAATGCAAATTGGTAACGAGTGGGGTGTCGAACGCTCCAGCCCATTAGAAGAGCCCGAGCCATAATTCTTCATAGTCGTCAGCCACAGCATAAAAAGTGCACCTAATTCATTACACGTTGGTGCTGGACACCACGCTTCCCCAAAGAGTGACGGAAGATGGCATTATGAAGGCTTATATTGTGTCGTATAAGCTACTACAAGCTGTCTTGGCCCATACCGAAGTGGGTACGTACCAGTGTTCGTAGACAATAAAACTGATAATGCTTCCCTACAACGCAAAAGTTGTGATGATTTATGGCGTAGTGGGTAGGTACGCTGGTGTTCTTGTAGCAGTTAACTAAAGAATGTTTAAAAAAGGTTCTGTAGCTGGAAAAAAACGCCTGTAGTCATATTAACTGATATGACTCCGCTCATACAGAAGCTAAGGATACAGTGGCATCATTATCAAGAGCGCAGAATGTGGGTTGCAAATACGTAAAACCTAAGGCATACCCCAGCACACTAATTTCGAAGTTAGGTCAGTTATCGAAGGAAGAAATAGCTCACGAACTGCTCTTTTCCATATATGTCATCCAAGTCTTGTATATTTCTTTCCGAACCAGACGTGTGAACCTAGGCGTCATGCACCATGAATACGTGCCTAAAATGTAGCTTATATTTTCTTTTACAGAACTGCTTGAACAAGTATACATACGTCTTATTCAATCAGTTTTGTACTATTTCTCCTAATGTTTTCTATCTGATTTTTTACTGGTGCTTTAAGAGAACTGTCCCCCATGGTTCCCGTTCTCTGCACATTCGCCAAAATTGAGAGACTATGACGCTCAAGAGGTGCTTTTGGCAAGATTGTATTGTTTTTCTTTTTTTTATTCTTTCGTTAAAGGCATTCGACACTACTGCTGAGCACGAGTCCGGCATCGCCGCAACTCGAGCGCCTTCAAGCGGATGCTGCCGGAGTGACCGTGGAGCTGTTCGAGAGCCAGTACTTGGAAAAGCTGCTGCAGTATGACATGGACGTGTTCCACTGCAGTCGCGCGTCACTCGTCAAACGCCTCGTGGAGGGCGCGCACAGCGTTAGCCTTCTGGCCTTCAACGACGACATGGAGGTCAGTGCGCGCAGTGAAGTCAGGCTTCGAACGAAATATTCAGAGCTGCATAGGAATGATGCTTAATACATGGTTTCTCGTATAAACTAAGAATTAGATATATGTCCATCCTTGCGGTTTCAAAATTTTTTACGGCTCAATTTAATATACCAACGATTTCGCGGAGAAAATTTGAATGGGAATATTCTGTGCTACTTGACAGCCAAAAGTAATGTCAACAGAGCCAATCTCTTTCTAACGCGCACAAATTTCGCTGGATAGAGCAAACACATGGTAGGATAAGAGAGCATATGTTCTGCTTCCTCTATTGTCACCTTACTATGGGACGGAGGAAGTCGGGCTTCTTTGGGCTCGAGTCGTAACTGCGGTGGCTGTCTCCTCAACATAAAATTGGTCGCGTTTACCACTGGTTACTACGTGTCCACGCAACGGCGTTTCAGGGATGGAAGCAGATGCATATGCCATCCGACATGAACATACCAAGGCTTACGGTCGGAACGCTCACGACTGCCCTTGCAAGCCGTCTTTCCGACAGTGCCGCAACGAACACAGGCCTTACAGCAGACATCTAATGCACCCACGAAGTATTATTATTGGCTTCGTTTTCTGTCTTTTCGTTTTCTCTGTAACTCTCAATGAAATCTTGTATTTTTATACGTAGAAGGCAACAGAAAGAATGGGTTGTTGTTGGCCCTGAGGTGCAAGTGAGGCTGAGCGGCAATTCTCAAGGTTGTGTACTGAACGTTTTCCCAGATTAGACGCCGTACCAATGCTAGTAACCATCTGTCACATCAAGTCCGATCACTGCCTTATGAGCACAAATATAGTGCGTTAGAAACTGCCACCATGCGTATCAACATTAATTCAGCATTGCTAGAAATCTTGCGGGAACGAAAAACCTCCCAAGAATGGGCATGTCACCACAGATGCTGGCCCAAAAGTTTCCTGCAGTAAACTTGCTGGAATATCTATGCTCGTTCTTCATGTGGTGATACGAACAGGAAAAAAATTCAGCCAGCTACACTTTATGGAATCCGTAGAAAGAGCGAATATTATGCCCCCCGTCACTTGGCTATTGTTTGTTTAATGCTTACGTTGGGGGTGCTTCTTCCTCGCGATTACAAGCCATCTTGGCCACTCTAAAAACCTCGCCCACCAACCCGCCCACCCGCCCGCCCGCCGGCCTGCCCGCCCGCCCGCCCGCCGGCCTGCCCGCCCGCCCGCCTGCCTGCCTGCCTGCCTGCCTGCCTGCCTGCCTGCCTGCCTGCCTGCCTGCCTGTCTGTCTGTCTGTCTGTCTGTCTGTCTGTCTTAAGCACTAGCTCAACGCCCAGCCATCTCAATCTAGTGGCAGCGTTCATACTTGTCAATATTGCTGATCAAAAAGCAAACATGCATATATGAGGTGCAACGTCAAACGTAAGTATTAGTTGGTGTGTTTCCTTACTAGGAACGACGTGGGTAATTCTTAAGACGTCAGTATTTCATACGCTGCGCTGAGAATACGATGCTATATGCACGAAAAAATTGGGTATTTCTTACGATAGTTATAGCGCGAGAACAGAAAGACGACACAGGGACAAGAAGGACACGAAAGACACGAGCACTCGTGTCCTTCGTGTCCTTCTTGTCTCCGTGTCGTCGTTCTGTTATTACGCTATAACTATCGTCATGTCATACCAACAAGCCCAAGCTCCCACACTTGTATGGTATTTCTTACGCTGCGCTGAAAATGCGATGCCGAGCATGGAGCACTCTGCAGACGATAATGTGCTGCCACCTGGCAGTGGCCTTGGGTTCTGCACAAGTTCATGTTTCCCGACCCCACTGCCAGATGGCATCATCTCATGCGGCGCCTCCTCTATTTTATCAACGCCAACCAGATGCGGCCGATGTAACATAGAGGAGGCGCTGTCTGAGGTTAGGTAAAAACATAAATGGCCGCTTGGCCGGAAGAAAACTATCGTCTTTCGACTATATTTGCAGCGAAACACGCGGACACATGGTCAATTTCTTATAGTCCACTGAGCCATTTACTTAAATACTGCTCGCAAACAGCTGGGTTCTGATGCTCTTGCCACCAAGCCTCACCACTCGCCTCTCTTGGCGTACTTCTCATTGGTTTGCCCTTTCGGCCGAGCCACACCCTCGTCCCTCTTGGTGAACTTATAATTTGTCTTTCTTTCAACCAAACTCCATTCACGTCCTTCTCGACAAAGCCCTGCATTCGCTCTTTTCCACCAGGATTCTCTGGACACGGCACATCTCTAAACGCAGGCCTCCCTATTTCCTACGCAGTCTCAATCACTGCTTCACAAGGCCTAGTGACCAGCGTTACGCCGTTTGTTCCAGTAAAGGGTCGACTCCAGACAGCGTCGCTGTTAACGTCCATCTTAACTGATAGGACTCCACTAATACTGAAGCTAAGGATACAGTAGCATCATCATCAAGAGCGCAGAATGTGGGTTGCAAATACGTAAAACCTAAGGCATACCCCGGCACACTAATTTCGAAGTTAGGCCAGTTATCGAAGGAAGAAATAGCTCACGAACTGCCCCTTTTCCACATTTGTCATCCAAGTCTTGTATATTTCTTTCCGAACCAGACGTGTGAACCAAGGCGTCATATACCATGAATACGCGCCTAACGATTCTAAACTATATATATATATATATATATATATATATATATCCTTCCGTTTTGGTAACCATAAGGTACGTGTGTGTGCAGCTGTTGGGCTACGGCGTGGTCCAGGAGATGACCGACGGCACCGGAGACGTCTCCGTACTACTTGCCGATGAAGAAGCGATCGCGGTCACCCTGTTGCGAGCGTTGGCACTTAACCCGGCCACGCCGAGACTGCTCAAGCTCACCTCTCCTGCTCCTTCCGAACAGCGTGACCACTGCTTCGCGGTGCGCGTCGGCTTCAGCGTGCGCCAGGCCTACGTTTGCCGCTTCACGCGTTGGAAGCAGATCATCGACGTTTCCCGAATATTCTCGTTCGGCGCACTTTAGACTTTATTTTGTACCGGAAACATGGCTTCATCAGTGTGCACCAGAAACACTTGTAAACACCTGGGAGAACTTAGTGCTAATTTCTGGCATGTTTTTTTGCTATGCATTCAAACGCATTAGTAACGCCTTCTCAGGGACGCTGGCAATGATACCGGCAAACAATTCTTTTAGATACCACAAAAATATTCAATGTTTCGCAATGAATGGTCTTCACTTATAAAATCTATGAGCGTATTCAATGCTCCTGCGGCAATGCCTTACAAGTTTCTCTTTCGGGCAAAAATATACAGCCTGTCATTAGTATTTACAAGGTTTGATTTTCTTGGGAAAAACCCTAAGGTCGATCTCTTCGTCACAAGAATAGGTATAACGCGAACCTGAACTGTGTATTCATAGGAGTATAGTTTAATGTACATTGTACATAGATGTGAGAACTTGTACTATGTCTATTGTTGTTTGGCCTCAATGGCGCTGTTTGGCATGCATTCACCCACGTTTTAACCTCGTTGCTGATCTCCTTACAGACGACTAAAGCCAAAGATCATGATTTAATCCTTGTGGCAGTTGAAAAGGTCTACACGCACTGGGGCACATCATATGCCAAATACCGCCTGTTCTCATGCGCATACCACGTGCACGATGACAGGAACGCGAGAGACAGAGTGCGTAGCTTGAACCGCGAACGCGAAAAGGCGTTGCACTTCTGGCTCACTGGCGTGTACCTCTTGCTGCACCGAAGGCTGAGGCTACTGAATGGCTCCCTGTCGGCACTCCTTAATTGATTGAGATGTGGGGTAGGTGGTGGTGGTAAAAAACATTTATTTCAAAAAAAGTCTACTAGAGAGTGCCGACGTGGCCCATCGGCGTGCTAGAGTGGCAAGACCCTATTCCGGGACGCCAGTGGAGCTGGAAGCTGCCCGTGCGCGCTCCACCAAGGAGCGTTGTGCAGCCAAGGTAGAGCAGCCGAGCAGGTGCTCCTCCCAAGCCTCTCTAGTTGGGATAGGAAAAGGGGATGAAAAAGGGACGACATTAACTGGGCACGATGCTACGACGTGATATGTGTCGGCGAGTACATGACAGGTCGAGCAGGTGCCATTGATTTCCGGCAAAAAGTGCCTGGCGACCGCCGGACTGATAAAGGTGTTCGTCTGCAGGCGGCGTAGCAGTCGTTCGTCCACTTTCTCCAAACCGCGTGCGAGGTCCGGGTAGAGGCGGCGCGAAGCCCGGTAATAAGCCAAAATTTCGCGAAAGCGCGTCAGGTTGGTATTGCCAGATTCCGTCTCGGGACAAGGAGGGGCAACGGCCCGGACAGGAGAAGCGCGGGCAGCGGCATTTGCCGCCTCGTTGCCGGGCAGGCCCGAGTGGCCTGGGGTCCAGACTATACGAATGGGATGAGGGTTAAAGCGCCAAGAGGCTGCCTGTAGTAGGCTAGCCGCCAGCGGGGCAATGGAACCCTGAAGGTACTGAGAACAGGCCGGGCGCGAGTCCGTCAGGAGGGTGCGTGAGGCAGGGTGAGAGGCGGCCAAAGCTATGGCAATCTCTTCAGCGTGCGTTACCGTGTCTGCTCGAAAGGAGAGGCCATCTACGTGTTTGCCCTCTGTAATCACGGCAGCCGTGAAGTGACCCGAGGGGGAGGGACCCGAGACGTCCACGTAGAAAACACCAGGACGATCGGAGTGTCGCGTATGAAGGGCCGCGGCGCGTGCCAGTCTACGGCCAGGATGGAGGTCGGGGTTCATAGTACGGGGTAGAGGTTCCACCCATAGCTTTTGACGCCAAAGCTCTGGTAGCAGAGGGTCTTGGTCAGATATCGAGTTAAGGCCAAGTCTGTGTAGAAGACGGCGCCCTGAAGGCGTCTGTGACAGTCGATTGATTTGGTTAACGCGATGAGCTTCGCGCATCTCTGCAAAGGTGTTGTGCACCCCCAGAGCTGTGAATCGGCTGTTGGAAGTTGCAATAGGTAAATCCAGAGCGCGTTTGTATACTGAACGAAGAAGGACGTCCAGCTGGTGCTCGTGTCCGCGACGCAGGCGAAGGTAAGGCAAGGCGTAGAGGACGCGGCTGGTCACAAACGCGTGGGCCAATCGGAGGGACTGAGACCCGCGGAGGCCGCCGCGCTTGGTAGAAACTCGCCGTATCATGCGGCTCACCTGTTCGCTGGTGCGTCTGAGGCCTGCTATTGTGCCCTTTGGATCCAAGGACGATGTGAGGTGAAGGCCAAGAACCCGAATATTTTGCACTGACGGGACGGGCCCGGACGGAAGAAAAATTTGAGGTGGCGGTAGCGGAGAGACTGAAAGAAGAGCCGATTTAGCTGGAGAGCACTCCAGGCCACATGAAGCTGCGTAGGTGTCCACCAGAAGGGCAGCCTTTTGCAGGCATTGTTCGATTTGCGCTAAGGAGCCGGTGTTGGTCCAGATTGTGATATCGTCCGCATATAGTGCGTGTTGTATTCCCTCGACCTCGCTTAGAAGAGAGGGGAGGTTCATCATCGCCAGGTTAAAAAGCAGAAGAGACAGGACTGCCCCTTGAGGTGTACCCCGCGTGCCTAATAAGTACGGGCCGTGTTCGGTAGAATTAAGGCGAATGAAGGCGGTGCGATGTGATAGAAAGGCGCGAATGTAGTTGAAAGTCTTCTGCCCGAAGTTTGTGGTAGACAGGTTAGTGAGTATAGTGCTGTGTTTGACGTTGTCGAACGCCCCGCGGAGATCGAGAGCGAGCACGACTTTATCGTTATGGCGCATAGTAGTCAGCTTTATGATATCGTGTTGAAGCTGGAGCAGGACGTCCTGCACCGACAGATGCGGGCGAAAGCCAAACATCGTGTCGGCAAAGGTCCTCCTGGCCTCCAAGTAAACGGAAAGGGGTTCGCGAACCATGGTTTTCATGAGTTTGCCTGCGCAAGACGTGAGTGAGATGGGTCTCAGTGCCTCAATACTAACGGACTTTGCCGATTTGGGAATGAATGTCACGACCGATGTGGTCCATTCCTTTGGAAGCGGAGAACCGTCCCATATCGAATTTATAAGGTGGAGTAGCGAGAGGTGTGCTTGGTCGGGAAAATTTGCCAGGAGCGATACTGTGTTTCCGTCGCGTCCAGGGGCCGAGCCCCGTCGCATTTTCGTGAGTGAAATCGTAAATCAGAAAGCGTGTACGGGGCGTCGAGGTCTGTGTTAGGGGCGCCGGAATACGTATATGCTGGGCCTGCGGGATAAATTGTGCGGCAGATGTAGCGGTCACAAAGTTCTCGTGCGAGTTCATCCGTAGTGCCCTGAAAGGCATGCAGAACACGGTGGAGCTGGCGTTGAGTTTCTCCCCTGGTGGTGGAGGGATCGAGAAGGCTCCTAAAAAGTCGCCACGCACTCTTAGAGCTCATCTAGTTTGCAGTCTTCGAACAGGTGTCTGCCCAGTTAGCATCGGAAAGTTGTGCGGAGTATGCGGCCGCCTCTGCAGTGAGCGCGTCAATGCGAGCGCGAAGTTTCCGATTAAGTTTGTTGCGTTTCCAGCGCCTTATGAGCCCGCGGCGAGCGTGCCAAAGATGTAGGAGGTGTGGATCGATTGCAGGAGTCAAATTAGAGGTTGCAAGGGTGCGAGTGTTCGCTTGTTTTATATGAAGAGCGTATGGTGCCCACGCTGCATATTCGGTCGAGGAGAGGCTGGCGGGGAATGGTTGCATTCTGAACTGAGTCCAATCGGTGAGACGGGCTTGGCCCCCGTGTTGGCGCATTTTCTGCCGCGGTGTGAACGAAATGCGGAGTAAAAAGTGATCGCTGCCTAGGGTTTCGCCTAAATTTTCCCATGTAGCATCGCGGATGTGACGGGTGAGGGAGAGGTCGGGGCATGTGTCTCGCGTGACCGAGTTGCCGGAACGTGTGGGTTGTGCCGGATCGGTAAGAAGCGTCAGGCTCAGCGAGGAAATGAGCTCCTTGAGCTCTCTGCCCCGGGCCTTCTCGTAGTGGTAACCCCAGTGAGGGCTGGAGGCATTAAAGTCCCCGACAATCACCAGTGGTTGTCGGGCCGCTATACGCAGCACCCGATGGAAGAGATGCGCAAACGAAGCCCTCGCAAGGCGAGGGGGACAGTACACGTTTAAGATATGTATTGATGGTTGGCCCCTCCGCTGAGACAGCACTGATATCATGCAGTAGTCGTAAGGAAGATCCAGATCGAGGTCAATCAGTATCGCCGTGTAAGCTTTATGCACGAGGAGGCATGTGGTGGTGCCGCCTACATAGGAGCAGTATCCAGAAAGGGATAGAGCAGGGCCAGATTCTTGGAGCGCCAAGACGGCCGGCTGAGAGCCAAGTGAGCTGAGGAAAAGGGAAAGATGTGAACGCTTTAGCCTGTTCCCGAAGCCTCCAGGGTTCCTCTGTATGATCTCGAATTTAGACGCAATGTTTGAACGGGACGTACGATTGGTAGCCATCGTGACTGTCTTAGGTTTTATATTTGGTCCTTCATGTCCCGCTCGGAATCCTCAGAGGCAGGGAGGGGCACGGAGACCGGATTGTCCGACGGCGGGGTGGTGGTAGCCACCTTACGACGACGCCGTGGAGCTGTACCCTCACTGCTCACCGAGCAGGAGCGGGAACGCGATGCCTTGGGTTGAAACTGGGTGATTGCCCAGGCTTGAATAGCCTGGGTAACCTCTGCTACTATGCGTTGGACCGAGAAGCTGGTGAGGAGGTGATTAATCGAAGCTTCGACGCGCATGAGGCGTTCCTCTACGCGTGGGGTGCGCTCTTCGCTAGGGAGAGTTTGCTAGCGGGCAAGAGAACCTGAGGTGCCCCAGGAGCCTCAAGAGCTTCTGGAGTAGATGTGGCACCGGTTCCGAGTGCTGGAGTACACATGGCTGCTTAAACCGGCGGTTTAATGGGAGTGGACTTAGCGCGAGGACTAAGCTTGGACGTAGCTGGCGTAGCCGCCTGGACAGAGGAGGCAATACCGGATGGCCTTGCAGTACACTGTTGTTGGGGTTGAAGTCGCTTATTTAAGAGTTCGAGTTGTTTAGTTAAAAGAGAATTTTGCTTTTGAAGTGCCGCAACTTGCTGGCGAAGGGCCGCAAGTTCGGAAGAAGGAAGATCGACAGAAGGGGGTGAGAGAGGCTTAGAAGCAGCTTTCTCTGCCCAACTGCTCACCTGAGGTACCGCCGCTGGTGCTTCGAGCGGTGGGAATGCTTGAGTGTCGGCGTGGAGTGCTGGAGCCGAATGATGCAGGTTGGTGCTGCTGTCTGGCTGTGATGAACATGAGGTGGTCCCTCGAGGAGATGTTGAGGGCT